TGTTGGGCATCTTCATTATAATGTGTCTAGGTGTGGATCTCTTATGATTTTGCACATTCGGCGTCCTGTAGGCTTCTAGAATTTGGGATTCTGTCTCATTCTTCAAGTCTGGGAAGTTTTCTCGTATTATTTCATTGAATAGACTGCTCATTCCTTTGGTTTGGAGCTCTGTACCTTCCTGTATCCCAATGACTCTTAAGTTTGGTCTCTTAATGTTATCCCATATTTCTTGGATGTTCTGCTCATGGTTTCTTAACAGTCTTGCTGAACTGTCTATGTTCTTTTCCAGTTGAAATACTTTGTCTTCATTGTCTGATGTTCTATCTTCTAAGTGTTCTACTCTGCTGGTAGTATTCTCCATTGAGTTTTTAAGTTGGTTTATTGCTTCCTGCATTTCTAGGATTTCTGTTTGTTTGTTTTTTATAACCTCTATCTCCCTGTATAGTTGATCCTTTGCTTCCTGGATTTGTTTGCGTAATTCATTGTCGAAGTGATCTTTCATTGTCTGATTTTGCTGTTTAATGTCTTCCTTGATACTCCAGATCATCTGAAGCATGTATATCCTGAATTCTTTATCTGACATTCCATCTGCTGCAGCTGTTACCTCTTCTAAAGTTGCGTTGACCTGCATTGCTTGTGGTCCTTTCTTTCCTTGTCTTTTCATACTGCTTGCGTATCTTTCCTGCAGGCGTGGGCGGCGGCTCTGCTCTCTCCTTATTCCAATTGGGGTGTCGTGGCTACCACGCCGGCAGGTCACTGGGCCTGTTCTGGGCGCTGGCGGCGGCTCTGTTCTGCCCCTACTCCAATTGGGGTGATGAGTGTACCACGCCGGCAGGCCACCGGGCCTGATCCGCCTGTCGGTTGCAGGTTTGCCTACCCTGCAGGCGCGGGCGGCGGCTCTACTCTGCCCCTACTCCAAATGGGGTGACGTGTCTTTCGTACTGGCAGGCCACTGGGCCTGTCCCGCTGGTCGGTCGCAGATCTGCCCACCTTTCGGGCACGGGTGGAGGCTCTGCTCTGCCCCTACTCCAATTGGGGTGTCATGACTACCCCACCTGCAGGACGCTGGGCCTGTTCCTGGCACGGGCGGCGACTCTGCTCTGCCCCTACTCCAATTAGGGTGGTGTGTGTACCACGCCGGCAGGCTCCTGGGCCTGATCCGCCGGTCTGTTGCAGGTCTGCCTACCTTGGAGGCGCGGGCGGCGGATCTGCCCTGCCCCTTCTACCACGCCTGCGGACCCCTGGTCCTGATCTGCAGGTTGGTCACAGGTCTGCTCACCCTGCGGGCACGGGTGGCGGTTCCGCTCCGCCCCCACTCCAATTGGGGTCACGTGACCACCACACCGGCAGGGCCTGATCCGGGCGTGGGAGAAGGATCTGCTCTGCCCCTACTCCAGTTGGGGTGATGTGTGTACCACACTGGCAGGCCACTGGGCCTGACCCGCCAGGCTGTCACAGGTCTGTTTACCTTGCAAGTGCGAACGGCGGCTCTGCCCTGCCCCTCCTACCACGCCCATGTACCACTGGGTCGCGGGTCTGCCCACCTTGCGGGTGCGGGTGGCGGCTCCGCTCCGCCCCCTCTCCAATTGGGGTCACGCGGTCACCATGCTGGCGAGCTGCTGGGCCTGCTCCGGGCGCTGGTGGCGGCCCGGCTCCTCCCCTCTGGCTCGACGACAAATTGAGGAGACTCGGGTGTCTGTGCCTCACCCCCCCTACCAGGAGACCAACCCTGTTATGTCATTTTCAATGATGCTAATTAGAAATTGTAATTTATCCATGGCTTTGTTTTATGTCATAACTGTAGTTCACTTTACAGTACCCATGCAACTTTATCAATAACTGCTTAGCTCTTGTTAAATTACATCTGTCTATGTACTTACACACACACAGAGAGAGAGACACACACACACGTTTTAATTTGAAATGATTAAAAGAATGTTTTGGTGGTGTTGGGGATGGCACCCAGGACCTTGCACTTGCTATGCACATGATCTACCACTGAGCTACAACTTCAGCCCCCGAAATAATTTTAGATTAAAAAAAGAGTTGCAGAGATACAGAGCTCCTGTGTAACAAGGGTTCTCATTCCTGGGGTGGTTGTGTGTCTCAGTGCTGCCCCAGGACTTTGGAACTACATGGAAACATTGCTAGCTTTCAGTAATGGCTGGTTGGGCAGGATACTGTGAAAGAGAAGTGCTGCTGACACGTAGTTAGTTGAGGCCAGGAAGGCTGCTAAACTTCCACAAGCTCTGGGCAGTCCCCAAAGCAATAAGTTACCTCCAAGGGTCAGTCGTACCCATATAGAAAAGCCTGCTCACCCAGCTCTCCCTAAGGCTCTTATCTCACCTAACCACAGCATAGTCATCAAAATTAAAGAAATTATTGCCAGATTAATATTAAGTAAATTCAGTACTTTATTTGTATTTCCCCAGATTTTCTGTTAATGTCCTCTTTCATCTTGGGATTTATTTTCCTCCCCCTCTCTGTGACAATGTCTTAGTCTTTCCTTGTTTCTCATGACCTTGATGCTTCTAAAGAGGGCTGTTCAGGTATTATGTAAAAGTTCTCAATTGGATATTGGCTGCTGTTTCCTCATCATTTAGCCAAGACATTGGGATTTTGAAGAAGGAAATGAGAGAGCATACAGTGTCAGGTAAATCATGTCCACAGGACCTCGCTTTATGTTCACCTTCATCCCTTGGACTAGGTGGCATCTGCAAGTTTCCCTTCCCAAACCTGTATCAGTTAGAAGGGAATCTCTAGGCCTCTCACTCAGGGAAGAGGAATTGGGCCTCACCCTGGAAGGGACAAGTGCCAAGGGATTTGTGGATACCTGTTACTGTACTATTAGAGTTTAATACCACTGGATGATCTTAACAGACAGCTGAAATAGAAGTTTTGTGGAAAGGAGCCTTGGGATTAATGTCTACAAAAACCTACATCATAAATCAGGACAGCATTTCAAATAAATCACTGATTGGTAAACTCTAAAGCTATCTAACGAATAAAACTTCTGGGCTGGGGCTGTAGCTCAGTGGTGGAGGCTTCCCTAACATGTGTGAGGGCCTGGGTTCAATCCTCAGCACCACGTAAAAATTAAAAAATGAAGATATTGTGTCCACCTAAAACTAAAAAAAAAAAAATTAAAAAAAGAATAAAACATCTAAATGTAAAATAACGAGAAGGAAGTAATATAAAGTCTTTACCTGGGTATGGATGGTATTGACTCCACCCAGGAAATTGCGTGTGTGCAGTCACAGGGACAGAGTAGAGTGGGTGTCAGGGGTTTGACCTACATCCATGACTGGAGAGTGCGGAGGAATTAGAGGTGAGAGTGGAGATAAATAATGTAGCCCAAGGCTCAGGACAGTCCCACCGAAGAGGGGACATCCCACCCCAAATGCCAAAAGCATGTCAGTTAATGCAATCAGAGTCCAAGCCCCTACTTATATGTCATTTACATGTATCGCCCTATTAACCTCACAGATGAATGAGTGGAAAATTTCAAGCAAAAACCTTGATTTGTGGTTTTACTCCAGCCCCACTGTTTCTAGAGTGCTCACCACCTCTTCTATCCCCACCCCAAAGTGTTTTTATGTATTTACTTGTTTATCTTCTGCCTCTATACCCTTAGAAAGCAAGCTCCACAGGCAAAGGCACTTTGCTGTGTTCATAGCTGTATTCCCTGGCCCTCCAATGGAAAACAACCTGAAATTCATGTTTGAGCAATGTATCAAGAGACTTTAGATGGAGAGAACAGCATCGGTGACATATGACCCTGTGCCTAGTTTCTGACCTTCTTTATTATGTCAGAAATACAATTTTGTATTTCTTTTGATATAATTCATATAATGGAATAATATTAATTGTATTAAATTTAATACTACACTATATTTACTAATGATATATTAAAATATTTTAGTAAGTGTAATTAATTTAATTCATATTTAATTGATATACCTATACTATATAAAAGTAGAGATATTTGCATGAATATGAATTAAATTACATCATGATTACATTGAATAATAATTATGTAACGTGTGTACATGACATTATGATATATATACTAAGCTTTTTCATTTGGAAGCATGTTATTGAGACTTAACCTTTTCTTTTTTTTTTAATTTAGTTCTGGATTGGAGGCTTCCACGAAGGGCGATTTGGTTCTTTGGAAATTACCTGGACACACTGTAGGTAGCCACAGCTGTAGGTGTGCTACTGGCACCTATGTGTCAGAGGCCAAGGATACTGATCAGACCCTCCAAAATGCATAGGACAAGCCCAGTCACAAACACAAAACAAAACCATTTTATTTTAGTAAAACAAACCTACTATTATTACTACTATATATAATACCAACAAACACTTAACTTTCAAAGAAAGCATATGATAATCTCTAGTAAAACAAAACTGTTATTACTACTGTATAAAATACCAACAAACACTTAACTTTGAAAGAAAACATATGACAATCACTAATAAAACAAACTATTATTATTTCTACTATATAAAATACCAACAAACACTTAACTTTGAAAGAAAACATATGATAATCACTAATAAAACAAAACTATTATTATTACTATTATATAAAATACCAACAAACACTTAACTTTGAAAGAAAGCATATGATAATGTCTAGTAAAACAAAACTATTATTACTACTATATAAAATACCAACAAACACTTAACTTTCAAAGAAAGCATATGACAATCACTAATAAAACAAAACTATTATTATTACTACTATATAAAATACCAACAAGCACTTTGAAAGAAAGCATATGATAATCACTAGTAAAACAAAACTATTATTACTACTGTATAAAATTCCAACAAACACTTAATTTTGAAAGAAAGTATATGACAATCTCTAGTAAAACAAAACTCTTGTTATTACTACTATATAAAATAAACACAAACACTTAACTAAGCTAACTGAGCCCATGGGGAGAAGGCCACCTTCCTGGTGAGCCTCCTCCCAGGGAGAAGGCAGGAGAGGGCTGGCAGGGGAAAGTCCAGGGTTGTGATCTGAGTAGTCTCTTTAGAGTTTGGGCTCCTCAGGGCAGGGAGAAGAGGTCTGGGGGTGGCAGACCTGTCAGGCAGAAGCAGTACGAAGTGAGCTGTTGGCTCAGTGACTCCTGTCAGGTAGAGGGGCCTGTAGGATAAAGGGACTGTGGCTTTGAGTCTCAGAGGAGGGTGGCATGGCTCTGACTCTTAGGAGCCAAGGAGGCGAGCGGGCTGAGTGTGCTCGGGCTCAGCAGGACCCTCCTGGTGTGGCCCCTGGGAAGGGGAGGAAGGCCTAGGCTCCTGGGACAGTGGGGCATCTGCTCCCAGGCCTGCAGCAGGGGCTGTGAGACCATGTCCTGGGCTGGCCTGGGAGCTGGGGCCGGTGGGGCAGGGGCCAGGGGAGGCCCCAGGAAGGCTGGAGGGCAGGCCATGGCTCAGTCTCTTCCTCACAGAGGCAGATGCCCTGGAGCGGACGCTTCTCTTCAGCGGCCCAGGCCTGGGCAGGAAGGACGGCTCCACTCCGTTTCTGATGACGGGCCTGAAGGCAGATGGTCTGCGCTGTGGGCTCTGCTGCTTCCTCTTGGGCTCAGGTTCCTCAAACCACAGGGCTCCATCAAACTTCCTTTTCCCTTTGTTGCACTGGCTGAGGTACTTTAGCACACTGTCTCCTTGGCACAGGGGTCTGGGGCCGGCTGGGACGGTGGGCACCTGTAGAGGCTCCCTGGACCCTCGGGATTCGTTCGGACTTTGAAAGGGCTGTGGGGCCAACCTGGGTCTGGGGCGTGGCGAAGTCTGCGCTTCATGCCTTCGTGGCGGACCTTGGTAAGTTGGGGTGTCAGGAGTAGCCAGAGGGGCAGCCTGTGCGGATTGTACCTCCCAGGCGGGGTGCCCACCGCCCTCCTGCCCACTGTGCAGAACCTTGTGGAGGGCTTGGGAGCGATCCCGGGGCTCTGGGTGTCCCGAGGCAGGTTTACAGATGCCAGGGTCCTGGGGGCGGGGGGCAGGCCTGGGCCTCAGAGGTCGGTGCTCCTGGGTGATTCTCCTGGGCCTCAAAGGCAGTGTTGCTAGGGCGGCCTTGCGTGTGCCCAGGTACCTGTGCAGGCACCTGCTCAGGTAGAGTCCCATGAGAGTGGTGGAGCAAGATCAGTGTCTTTGAGTAGGGATCGGTTCCCAACCTGTGTGGTCGCAGCCAGACACCAAACAAGTGACAGTTGGGGCAGACAAAGCGCGTGGGGCGCCGTTTGCGGGGATCTGGCACCCGCCAGGCTCCTGCCCCATGGACACGAGGACAGCATGGGGCAGAGTCGCACCTGGGGCGCCCCATGCTATCTGGAGCGCAAGGAAAGCTCAAGCCTCTCTCCTCCCCATTGGTGCTCTCAGACACAGCCCTGGGCAGAGGGTCCTCGCATCTGTGTCTACATTTCTATCTGACATTGCCAGGGAAAAATACAAAAATTTCTCCAGGGCTGTAGCTGTAGCTTAGTGGTGGAAAACTTGCCTGGCATGTGTGACACACTGGGTTCCATTCTGAGCATCACATAAAAATAAATAAATAAAGGTATTGTGTCCAGAGACACACCCACATAAATACAGTTATATGATACTAGACAAAGGCACCATAAACATTCATTGGAGAAAGCATAGCCTCTTCAATAAATGGTGCTGGGAAAACTAGAAATCCAAATGTAGTAGATTGAAATTGAACCCCTATATCTCATCCTGCACAAAACTCAAAGTGGATCAAGGACATAGGCATTAAACCAGAGACCCTGCTCCTACTAAAAGAAAATGTAGGCCCAACTCTCCATCATGTCCACTCAGGAATGGACTTCCTCAATAAGACTCCTAAAGCACAAGAAGTAAAATCAAGAATCAATAAATGGGATGGCATCAAACTAAAAAGCTTCTTCACATCAAAGGAAACAATCAATGTGAAGAGATAGCCTACTGAATGGGAGAAAATCTTTGCCACCTACCCCTCAGAGTATTAATCTCCAGGATATACAAAGAACTGAAAAAACTTAACACCAAGAAAACAAATAACCCAATCAATAAATGGGCAAAGGAACTAAATAGATACTTCACAGAAGAAGAAATACGATCAGTCAACAAATACATGAAAAAATATCCAACATCTCTAGTTATTAGAGAAACGCAAAGTAAAACTACACTGAGATTCCATCTCATTCCAGTCAGAAGGGCAACTATCAAGAATATACATAACAATAAATGTTGGAGAGGATGCGGGCAAAAGGTACACTCATACATTGCTGATGGGACTGAAAATTGGTGCAACCACTCTGGAAAGCAGTATGGAGATTCCTCAGAAAACTTGGAATAGAACCACCATTTGACCCAGTTGTCCCACTCGTTGGCATATTCCCCAAAGACTTAAAATTGGCATACTATATTGATGCAGCCACATCAATGTTTATAGCAGCTCAACTCACAATAACCAAGCTATGGAACTAACTTAGGTGCCCTTCAACAGATGAATGGATAAAGAAAATGTGGTATATATACACAATGGAATATTACCCATAAAGAAGAATGAAATTATGGCATTTTCTGGTAAATGGATGGAACCAGAGAATATTGTGCTAAGTAAAATAAGCCAATTCCAAAGAAACAATGGTCAAATGTGCTGTTTGATATATGGATGCTAACCCACGGCAAGGGAGGGTAGGGAGAGGAAATATAGAAGTTCATTGGATTAGACAAAGGAAAATGAAAAGAAGGGAGGGGAGATGGAAATAAAAAACTAGAAGAATGAATGGGACATAACTTTCTTGTGTATACATATGAACATATGACCAGTGTAACTCCACATCATGCTCAACCATAAGAATGGGATCAAAATTGTAATGGGTTGCACTCCTTGTATGCATAAACACACTCTACTGTCTTGTATATCTAAAAACAACAAATAAAAATTTAAGGGCTAGGAATATAGCTCAGTTGGTGGAGTGCTTGCCTCTCATGCGCAAGGCCCTGGGTTCAACCCCCAGCACCACCACACACAAAAAAATTTAAGAAGAAATTAATTTAAAAAAAATAATTTTCTCCAGATAGCTATTGACAAAGGGTGCTCTTTCAACATTGTAAAAATGAGCATAATACAATGGGATGCTCTTTTGAAGAATAACAAATAAAACTAATTTTATCAGTAACATGATAGATTTGTTTCATTCTTGTGGGATATCACTTTTTGCAATTTAGCTCTTAAGGAAATAATGAAAACTGTCCAGGATTATGTTTTAGTACTGGCAATGTTGATTTTATATAGACTCTCCTGTAATTTTCAGTTTATACATTCATCCATGTATTTATGGTTTCCTCTCTGAATACTAGTACTATTTCTCTTCTTTTATTTATTTTTGTTTTTACTTTTGGGTAATCTTGGAGTACAGTGAGGCACATTTCCCACTAGTAGTTGAAAACTTCTAACTTCGAAAACAAATTGTCAAGCTGGGGCTGTAGCTTGGTGGTGGAGCACTTGCCTCGAGAGTGAGGTACTGGGTTTGAGCCTCAGAACCACATAAAAATAAATCAATAAAATAAGTTGTGTACTTCTACAGTAAAAAAAAATTATTAAATTGTCCAAGGGCTGCTAATTTATTATAATACTTATATTATAATTATATTACATATTATATATTATATTATTATATTATAATTAATTTGGAAGTCTGTTAAGCAGTATTTTTTGAGAACATTTCCCTCAAAAGCATGTGTGTAACTGGGAATTCCCAAATACCAAAATGGAAGGGGGAAGGGCCAAAAATACAAGCCAGATGGGCAACAAATTCAACTTAGGGCATTCATGTAGTCCAGATTTGAAGTGGAAGACTGAATGGTGAAGACACTGAATAGGCTTAATGAGGAAGTGCCAAAAGTTTTGAGTGTGGAGGGGACTAAGGGGACTTAGGGTGGGATGAGCCAGTGGGTGCAAGGGAATGAGATCCCTAACACTCTCAATTCCTTATGAGGTCACTTTGGGGCCAATTCCTTATTTAAGAAGTGATCTCCATCTATGTGATTTAGAAAAGAGAGTCCCATGGTATCATTTTTTTTTCTAAAGCTAGTTTTCATGATAGAATGACTTCAAAGGTATATATCTGTTAAGAGAGTAAATGGCATCAAAGTGGACACTCTAATGCTTTAGGGTCTTGGCTTCTTATAGTCTATCTTTCCCATGTCTCTAGAATTTTCCACATCTTTTTGATTGGTACCGAGGATTTAACCCAGGGGTGCTTAAACACTGAACCACATCCCAGCCCTTTTTATTTTTCGAGACCGGGTCTCTCTAATTTTCTGAGAACTTGTGAGCCTTTTGCCTCAGCTTCTTGAGTCACTGGGATTACCGGTGTGCACCACCACATGGAGCTCCACATCCTTTTTGTAATATAACCCAGTGGGTGTCATTCTGGCTTGTAAAGAGCCTTGACAAACCATAGCCTTCTCCTGGTGAACTACATACAGTAGTATGTGAACCACCCTAAATGTGCTCTCTACTGGTAAACAAACCATGTTGATTAGAGACATTCTCCACAGACACTGCAAACTCCTGACCCTTCTTCTCATGCAACAAGAGAAAAAGGATTTCACTGGTTAGTTGATGATAGAGAATAGTGTATATCAATTGTGTTCAGCCAGGGGTGAGTTTTCAGTAGATATTAAAGGAGATCCAGAGACATTTTTGGTTGTTAGTATGCAGTGGGGGTGGGGTAGGGGATGGTAAGGTTCTACAGGCATCCAGTGGAGGCCTGTCATGCTCTTGAACATCCTGCACTGCACAGGATGGTTCCCACAGCAAAGAATGATTTGGTCCCAAATATCAGTGATTCTGAGGTTAACACTCTTCCCCCAGCTTCTCCCAGTAGTATATTATGTATCCATGATACATCCATCTAACTAAGAAATTAACACGGGATCAATACCAAGCTTTAAACAGATCTTCTGATCTCTTGCTACTGTCCTTTTTTTGGTTCTACATCTACTTCTCCTTGGTCTCCTCCACTCAGTTTTTCTGCTTTGGTCATGAGAAACATCTGAATGTGGAGGACTTCATCTTGGGGACTGGACAGGGACATGGGTCATTGTTCTTTACAGCCAGACAAATCAAGTCTCTATAGGACTTTTCTTGCTCCTTCCCTGTGGAGGTGACTATAGAAAAGAAGACTGCTCCTCTGGGTGTTTTCACAAGGACTTGCAAGGAGCTGGTGTCAGGAACAAAGGAGGGGAAAGTAGTATGTTCCTGAGTCTGGAGTCCCAAGTGGCATGGCAGCAAAACTAGAAAGCTCAGTGCTCATCAATGCAGTCATGTCTGTGCCCTGCAGTGGGACCCAGGGCCGGGGGGCTCTTAACACAAGCATCATAAATGTCAAGTTCCCTACCTCGGCAGTGTTGAAGGAGAACCTGAACACAGGTCACCTAATTACACTTCCTGGTACAAAGGGCCTATTAATGTCTGAAATTGGAAAATAAAGTATATTTCAAGTGAGCCAGAAAAAAATATTACCTTATGCTTAATTGATATGAAGGTATCTACTAATTCCTCTCTTTATGATGTTTGTGTAGCTAAGGAACAACAAAAGAGAAAATATCAAAAACAATTGGCATCCCATGGTAGGACTGAAATGGAACATGAATTAAAATCAACCACCTGGTGATTATCTCAAATCAAATCATAATCTGAATGTACACTTAGACTGGCAATTTAGAAGGCTACAAGCATCACTGAATTTGCTTAGACACAAAACAGATGAGCACCGTACTTGCAGACGTGTCTGCAGTTTGCAGGGAAAGGTGCTCCCACCTCTCTTTGTCTTCCCCTTGCCTCACCAGGCCTTGGGCCACAGGGGCTCTGGAAAGATGGGAAAGTTGGGCTTTTAGTGCAGGTCCCCAAGGCCTCAAGGGCCCATTCCAGGGGCCTAATAACCATGTTTTTGAGTTCTTCTTTCATGCTTGGACTTGTGGGACCTTGGTGACACCAGGGGTCTGTCTCTCCAGAGAACAACTGGGAGTGCACCTTTCACATGCAAACATAGCTCCAGAGCCCATAGCCCCAACCATCCCCTTTTCAGGTTGTTACACTGAAGTGATTATTTCTCTGTTCCAAGTAGTCAGGTATCAGACAACTAGGGAAGGGCCCTGGGCCCCAGTAGCTGAAATTATTCAAGTAGCCAAATAGTAAATCCAGGTTACCCTGCCTTGCCTGTTCCTTGCCACAGAGACCCCAATAAAGGCTCTTGCCCACATATTGCCCTTGCCCTGGTGCTTCCTGACTGACCCTGCT